ACACCGAGCCGAGCCGAGCGGGCCAAGCCAAACCGGGCCGAGCCGAACCGGGCCAAGCCGAGCCGAACCGGGCCGAGCACGCGCACCCACCTGCTGCGCCGAAAGGAGTCAGAGCGCCGCCACGCCCCCATATCCACAGGCAGTGATGAGACGGGCAACGGCCAATAGGGAGCCTCAATTTTGCATGTTCCGCAACGGCTTCTTGGGAGGAAAAATARCTTAAAAAATTGCCAATATTTTTCATGTTCTTGACACCGTTTCGAACGGCCATGCTTGTTGGGCAGAACAAGGAAACTCCATCCTGAATACCGTGCAGTTTCTGCGCCTGCAGAGTGTCACCCTAACCCTGCGGACAAGGATCCATTAGACCTTTATATMAAGCGGCTGCGCGAGGCAGCTCTGGATGTGAGGGCGATCTGGCTGCGACATCTGTCACCCCATTGATCGCCAGGGTTGATTCGGCTGATCTGGCTGGCTAGGCGGGTGTCCCCTTCCTCCCTCACCGCTCCATGTGCGTCCCTCCCGAAGCTGCGCGCTCGGTCGAAGAGGACGACCTTCCCCGATAGCGACGTACCGTTCATCGGTCAAGGGTATACGGTAGCTGCGCTCCCCTGCTAGAACCTCCAAACAAGCTCAAGGTCCATTTGTAGGAGAACGTAGGGTAGTCAAGCTTCCAAGACTGCAGACACATCCAAGTGAGGCGCTGCACGTGGCAGTCTGCCATTCTTTTTCTGCACCGCCCCTCTGCTTTTATTCRGGAACTGACAGCGTCTCACAGAGTTCCTTTGTCGTTTTACTTCTTGTGGTGGGGCGGAGGGGCCTGTAGCAGATCCTGGTTAATCTTGTTTAACCTCCTTCCAGTCACTGCCGCTCTCCCTCACTTTATCACTTCTCCCACCGGCAAATTCCACTTTATCACTTCTCCCACTGGCAAACTCCTGAACTCTCCCCCTACAACGACACTTATAATTGAGAACACTTTCTTTTTCACTGTATTTGTTTCAGAAAGTATTCCTCTCACTTTAACTGCTAATTCTTTCCTTGAGCAATTATTTTCAAGGCTGCTTAATCAGATAGTAACAGGATGTGCGGGTTTCCAGTAGTCTTCAGCTCCCACTGCCTTCAAAGGAGGGGAGAAGGTGGAGAAGTGACATCTTGCAAGGCATTATGGAGTTAGGTCCTTCTTCCAAGATGTTACACGTCTTTCATTCAGTGTTTCTCCGAGTTTCAGGGAGTACCAAGACATACCACACATCTGAAAAAGCACCAAGTGTGTGTACATGTATTTAAGAACCAAACTATAGTGCTATTCTTAAAACACAAATCAAAGTTCAACTACAATCAGTATTTCTTCAAGAGTAACTTTATTCTGGGCAGGAGACTTGACACAGAAGTATTGAAACCAACATTTATAACATTTTTGAACAAAAACACTGAATAAACAACAACTGTTATTTAAGATCTTGTTTTGCCATGACAATTTCACTCTCTTTCCACATAAGCTCAGAGATTTCTTTCAATAAATATTCTATCTGTTTTACAGATGACCCTTTTCACATCAATACCCTTAACTGGATATAGAAATACCATGGACATGAGGGTTTTTTTTTTTTTTTTTTTGGCTAATATCATGGCACTTATACAAGACTTTTAAGAAAACCTGGGTTTATAGAGGTGCACGAGTCCCCTTATCAGGTTCCTTCATTTCCAAGTCATTATTAAATGCTATGCATAAGCCTGAGAAAATGTAAACAACAGATCTCTAAAAAAAACAGCATAAAGATACTGCTGAATTTCAAGACAAAGTAGTGCATTACATACGACAAATTCTCATTTGCTTTTTCTGCCAGATTTCAGTACAATAAAAAGACTAATGCCTTTTCCACCTATATTGCACACTGAGAAAGCACATTAAAATATGCAGGCAAGGTAGCCCCTCGTCAAACAGAACTTTCTCCAATTTCATCAGGAATTTGCCTGAGCAGGAAGAGCACAGAGTGTTGTTACTAATTGTCATTACACTTCCTACGCCACAGTTTTCCCTTCCCAAACTGAAGTTAAAWCCATTCCAATTCCAAAATAAAGGGTTTAATTTGAGAAAAAAAGATATAACAAATGACTTCACTATAAAAAAAAGGAAAACTTATTGCTGAACTAACCCCAAAGCTCAGTGCTCTATGCAAGGAAATTGTTAGGGGTGCTGAAGGTTCAGGAAGTTCAGGTCAGGCCCAGATTCATCCTCTAGCCCCTTTAATGATGGGAACTATTCCACATATTCAGCAGAAATAAGGGAGAAAATATGAAAAACATYGCAGAACTACCAGGTGCCTGCAGAGCTCTCTGTAGTAAGCTCGCTCAGGCCGGCCCAGCAGAGAGCTCAGGACAAACAGGCTGGCTGGTGTCTGCAGGATGGGCCCCTGGAACACAGCCTTAGGACTTGACTCCCACTAATGGAAATGGGAGGCAAGTGCATGAAACAGACTGCCCTAAATAGGCAGTGACAGCGACAGGGCTTTTCTCCCTTCAGAGCAATTCTCCAGTGAGGAAATAGGTTCAATGATATCTAAATATTTATTGTGACCAGGAGAAAAAAAACTAACACAAACATATACCTTTTCCCTTTCTGCTTGCCCAGATACCTCACGAGTGGGTGCTTGAGGAATCAGTGTCGCTGATTTCAGCTCTGCAGCAGCATCACTGCCTTGSAGGCAGCTACGTGGAGCCCGCAATCAGTATTTGCTATGAACGGGTACCTGGGGAAGGGGGACACCCCACATCCCACATCCTGGCGCACATGGGTCCTACACGGCCGCTCCTTCTGCTCCCATGTTGAGGAGCTGCCCGTCCTGCCACACGGGCAACCTGCTCCCCGCCTCCCCCCAGTGCCCACTGCCTGGGCCTGGGAAAGCTCTGGGGCTGCCATTTAAATGGACCTCTGCCCCACAGCTGAATCCTCCCAGCTGCGGGGCCATCTCCCCAAGTCTATGACCTACTAATTCCTCTGCTCTTTCAGACCCAGTTACCTTCTTCCCCCTTCAAAGAACTGTATTGGCATCTGTAAAATCAATCAAGTTCAATTTTAGAATGGTTTTAGTTAAGACCAGAGGGTAAGCTCACTTTTCCAGTAGAAAAATGGGGCCTAATTTATGGAAAATCGCACACTCATCCATGGCAAGTGAAGTATCAAGGTGAAAAAACTTCCACTTACTCATTTGTAGCAGCAGGGGGTGGGAATGGGGGAATAGYGTCAAAAATTAGTCAACTGCACAGGTACTGTTTTCTTAAACTCTGCTGCTGGTTATCACTACTACTCTGCGAAACCAGCTTTGTCATAGTCAATACTGTCTTAAATAGGTCTTCAGATCCTACGGTCCCTACTGCAGGAGAAAAAAACAAAAACCAACAGAATCTGCTTTTCTCCTTTAGAAATCAACAGGAACKCTTGAAATAAAATTCAAAGAAGAGGATCCACATTCTATTTCATAGTGAACTAGGCCAAGAAGTGACTTGGAAGCAGGACAAATAAAGACACTATGTCAGAGAACAGATCTACTGAATACCCGTCACCAAACAGAAGATGCCCCCACATTTTGCTTCTTGGCAAAAGCAAAGCACAGTCTGAAGCAGCCAACCGAACAGTCCAGTCTGTTCCTGCTGCTCCTCCAGGCCAAATTCCCATTAACCCTCAATGSGAAGTGAGAAGGGGGCTGCAAAGCCAGACTGCAGCCCAACAAAAGCCTTGTAAAGGCAAAAATAAATCCACCCAAAAGTCTCCTGTGGATTTGGGACTTTCAGCAACCTCCCACAGGCTGCAAAGGGCAGCACTCGTGGGAAGCAAATGAGTGGATGGCAACAGCAAGGTGGCAGCAGGACGGGGCTGGAACCACTTCCGTAAGGCCCCACGGAGCGCCCGGTCCCCAGGAAGGGTCTCGGGAAGCCCCTTCCCTGGCGCTGCTTCCACTGCAGTGTTGCACCCCCTTGCCTTCCTTCTACTACCACTTCCATAAAAAAATCCAATAAAGGAAAAAAGTTAAAATTTAAAAAAGCTCATTATAAAAGTTTATCATATAAAAATGGCAACTCCCCTAAACCATATATACAAAATGTATCCGATTTATGAAAATAATTGGACCCAATTATATAATAAATTTTATACAAAAAGGTACAAGACTGTAGTCAAATTAATACAAATAAAAGTAAAAAACTTCCGCATGTCTCACTCAGAGCATCTGTTTCTTTTAAATTTACAGGTTTGCGAAATGGGATCAATTTGTGTCCTGTTGGTCCCCAGCTCCCGGGAATCCTGCACCGCTCCGTAGGTCACCGGTGAGCACCATACTTGGAGGACCAGTCAATACGGCCGTGGATGGGCTGGGCGGGTGGTGGCAGGGGCATTAACCTTGGCGTGCTTCTCGAGGGTGAATTAAATGGTGGTCGTCCAAGATGGGGCCCTATTGACTTCAAAGAAGCATAATCTACAAGACAAAAGAAGATATCAGGGTATAAAAGGTTCAGAAAGGATCCATCTACCTTAAAAAATAACTAGATGCAGGGCTACAACCTCATTTCTTCATGGAAGAAGGTTCTTTTTGAATAGAATTTGCTGATGGGAAACAACAGTGGATACAGCCTCTAAACCTTCTAAGTGACAACAGACAAATTTCTGTGCATCCTTCTGCAGCTGCTGTGGTTTGTGTGCCACACTCACAGCAGCCTCTAGGTCCCATTCAGTCACACTCATCAGGTAACACCTGTGCGTAAACCTACATAATTCATTTATCAAAGCAAAACTAAGCCTCCCCCTTCTCCGTAGCATTCTGACAGGTCATGATGGGCAGTCCTAGTCACTTCAATACTTACAGAGAATGTCAAACACAGGGCGGGTGTGTGTGTGTCTGTATCGGTGTATATATACGTAACAGTAGGTTAGTGCCACGTATGTACMTTGTTAGAGATATGAGGAAGAGCCCAAGATGACGTTAGCGTGATACTTACTTGAAGATGGATCCACAATTGGTGCCAACTGAACCCTCTGYCCAGCAGAGCCTACTTCCTTCTTCAGAAACGAAGGGATGTAGCCACTAGTGAGAGCACTCGATCCTACAGGCCCTGAGAGAAACAGCAAGGAAGGAGGTCAGCACAAGGGCCCCCTCACACTGGGTACCAAAGCCTGTCACAGCTCCACTGACAGCAGCTGACAACAGTGGGCACTGCTGGCTCACACTCGAGACCCAGGCAGACTGTACACGACACAGACAGAACTCTGCTGCAGTCGGTAGAAATCTGGTGATCCCCCAAGTGTGTGTGCAGGAGCCTGGCACCTCAGACTACTGTAAAGATTAATGGAAAACAGGTACAAACCCCACTTCTGGAGGGTAATTTCTATTTCTCCATGACATCCTAGCGTTTGAAATATGTGAGCACCTTTTTTCTTTCCCCTAAGATTTCCTAGAACTTTCAAGATTTGGCATTTTGCTGGAATTTTTTGGTCTGACTTCCAGGAGCTGGGCTCTGTGAGTACAGTCAGTCATTTCTGGTGTCTAAGCCGGATGCAGTGGGCCTGGGACTCTGGACAAAGCTCTTACCAAAGCCAGAACCTATTTAGTTCAATTAACAGGGATTGAATACTTGAAATGCAAGTGAAAAAACAGCTTTGTTTTTTCTGCTTGATTTTTTAAAGCTACAGCTCTTCCCCTGCTTTAAASAGTAACTAATTTAAATTCATCTGATGACAGATTCTATTTATTTTTCAAACAACAGGAGGAATGTACACAACTAGTTTGGTTCCTTTTCAATCCAGACCATCTTTCCCTTTTGTGACAGTAATTTAAGCAGCAGTTAGATTATAAAGAATTTGTAAGTCACGTTTTCAGGTTTCCAAGAACTGACAAAGAAAATCAAGGGTTAGTGGAAGTATTTCAAGTTGAACAAACTTAACCTGGCCTGGCTATCCTTCTATGCACATGGTACCTCAGATTTTTTGGAAGAATAAATGACTGTGTATCAGCTTAAGCTAACATCTGAGTCCAAGGAACACTGCTCTTTACTGGTTTTGATGGACAGAACAGGAGAGTAGCAAATATGGTTGAAAACGAGGATGTCAGAAATAGGTGATCCAAAATAATTAATTCTGGCTGGAATTAGAAATAATTAGCTTTTCTCAGTGTTTAGCACAGCTTCTTACCTGAATTCATCCTGTTGATACTTCCTCCCAAAGCTGAAGCTTTCCCAGGCAAACAAGAACTAGGCCACGGATTAGATGGAACAGACTCTTTGCTTGAAGTGGAAACTATGCTATTCCTTGTGCTTATTCCTATTGGGAAAAAATGAAGGCATTTATCATCTGAAATCAGCTGTTATACAAGGCTTGCACACGTTCAATCTGAAGCATCATCTTAAAGTGGCTGTTCACCAGGGTCAACTTAATTAAGCAAATCCACGGCCTCTACATGACTGCCTATTCTGGTGTACACAGCACTGTGTGCCAGGCCTTGCTCCTGCAAGGACACTAGTGCCAGGAGCTCCCCTGGCCTCCAGAGYTCTATATTATCAGCAGGCTCCAGAAGGGCCAACACGGGCTTTACAAACAGGCATCAGGAAAGAGGATACATCCGTAGACCGCTCAACTTCAATACAGGGAGCTAYGCTCCCTGCTCCTGCACTAGCTCCTGCCCCAGCGCTGGTGTCGGCAGAGCAGAGCATAACAGCAGGACAGGCCTGTGATGCCTCTACACAGAGCTTGATTCGGTTCAGCTCCAAGCCACAGCAAAGTCTTTCCACTAGCTGTAATGGAGCATTTGCTGTTCATGGTATTACATGTTCCTGGGGGAAACGGAGGACATTTGCATCCTTTTCCAGTGCAGAAAAATCAGTCCTTCTCCAGGAAGCAGGGAGTAACTTGGCTCATTAATAGACATTTTCTAACACACTTAAAACCAGAGTAGATAGGCTATGTAGCAGGTAAAAATCWGGCAGAAGGAGGACATGCCAACAATCCTATCTTTTACTTGTAAACAGCATTTACCTCKGTTTCYAGTCTKCTAAAGTGCACTTTGTATTACGGCCACTCACTGGCCTAACACTGTATTATGGCCTTCACTGGCCTACGACTAACAGAAAGGGTTTTGCTTCCATCCTTCTCCTTACACAGTAATCCTCCTCTACAAGCTCAAAGGACAAAACTCAATGCACTAATGACCGGTCATGGTATTTGAATGAAAGGGAGAAAAAGAAATGAATATTTTTTACTAACCAGGTAGATACCTAGCATGCCTCAAGTAGTGCTGCTTTGCTGCAGAAACTCGCAGGGTGGGAGTGTCCTGCCTGGGGAAGGCAGCATGCGAGGGCGCGCTCTTGCCAGAACCTGCAGCATCCGAGGGCTTCAGGTCCAAAATGCTTTCAAATCTATAACCCAAAAATTGCTACGCTTAGTCCAACACTTATAGCACATGTTTATCCACAGCCGGCCTTCTCTCCTCCATCCCATCTCCAGGAATCATTTCCTCATATTGTGTTTGCTATAGCATAAACACACAGACAACAGGAAATATTTTCAGCACTGAAGCCACTGAAGTGCTCCTGAAAGTGAGATTTGAGCCTCTAGCCCCTTTGTAATTTGCTTTGTTATCTACTATGATCCAGTGAAAGTTCAGCTAGTCTCATCAAAACAGTTTAAATGCGTGAAATGTTAAAAAACGGTTCACAYATGAAGCAGAAAATACCCAATCAGGAATTAATTTGAGAACCCTTATGCTTGGGAAGTATAATTTTCAGAGAGAGAAAAGTGGATATGTAACTGTATAGGAAGACACTTACTCTATGGAACAATATGTAGCTATTGCAGCAGGGGGAAAGCAACAAAACTACAAAGGCAAAGCAGAGGAGAGAAAAGCTCTGTCCTTTACTAGGCTTGATACCTTTTGCTAGACATGCGGAGACCATGAAGCGCAAAAACTATGAAAAAAAGAGGTGAAGATTAAAGAAAAGACACCGACCAGCACGCTAATGTAAGAAAAACAAACCTACCTAAAAAGAGTTTCATCACTCTGCCTCTTCTTATTCTTCAGGTCAGCTCTCGAGAGGGAAGAGCCAAAATCAAGATCTTCCAAGTCATCCCAGGCTTCCGAACTCTTCACTGTTCTAGCCAGATGCCCCCATCTTCGCCTGGCTTTAGGCTGGAGCTCGCTGTTTATGTTTTCAGCCCCAACAGGTATTTTCTGTGATAATGATTAAAAAGAAACAAATCCACACACTTACACCACAGACATAAGGAGTAAAGAAAAGACTTCTTTATCTCAAAAAGCGTGATAGACGTAACAGAAACCCAACCTTTGATTTAACATGTGAAGAGCACAATGTCTAGCCCGATGACTAGAATCTTTCACATTTCATCCTATTTTGAAGCAGACTGCACCAACAGAAGAGTAAGTTTCTTATGTCTCACTTCCAATTCTATTTGTCTTTCACTATACAACCTTCAAAAAATAACCGCAGACTTGATCCTTTTCCTTGGCCCACCTTGTGAGAACAAACCTGCAGGCACGTGCATGTTTCTACAGGCCTGAGTCACAGGCATTTTTAACTATGTTGTTTTCCTACAGGACATTGCAGGTGTAAATTCAGGTCCTTTTAGCATCTGTACTTTTCAACTCGGTGCAATTTGGTATAAACCCAGCATCCACCCTACTTGAAATGTGTCTCTTAGCAGAAGCATTCACACTATGTATTTTGTTTATCTGTCTCAGCAATCCAGTCTCCTTGAATAGTCAACAGAAATATTAAGTTYTTATGCCAAAGGAATAATCTGCTCTCCACTGCTTGTAGAAGAGCCCAAAGAGACTAGTCTTCTTAGTTAAGCATTTACATTAGATGTTTTAATGGACTAAGGGAATAGCACACACATTTCAAAACTACTTGGCCTAATACTCTCTCCCTGGAATYAATCTCACTACGATTCTGTCCGCTGAGCATCATTCTTCTCATATAAAATTACTGTCGCTCTTTAAGTGACACAAAAGAATAAAATGGCTTTGAAATGAGAAGTTTTCTTGCTTTATAGCAATCAGACTGAGATCTCAAGAGAATAATTTCCAGTTTATAGCTATTTGTTATTCCCATTTCCTGCCTATTTAGTAAAGCACATGGAATTATGCAACAGGAAAGAGACGAAGCAAGAATACTAGCTGGAGTAACCTTGTGCTAAACGGGCCTTTACCTGCGCAGGGACCTTATTGTGAATTGCAGGCAGCAGCACCTGGCTAGACTTGTCCTCCCGCAGCTGGCTGCTGGGCTCGGCTCCGCAAGGCTCTGCCTTGTACAGACACATGCCCTGCTGAGCAGGCTGGCTTTGCTGGAACGGCCTCGACGAAACCCGTGCGTGGGGTTTTGGAGGGGGCTGTGCTGGGGGCACAGGCTTAATATGATGCAGAGCTGATTTATCATGCAGTTCCTTCTGTTTTCCCAGGTCCTGAACGCCCAGGGAATGCCCAACTTGGAAGTATGGGTATCGCAGTGCCTAAAACGAAATGAGGACATGCGGATTTCAACTTAGGAAACTAAAATTTCTATCTTACCCCAGCCTTAAGTAGCAGTGTGATGCAATTTTCCATTTTCAAGGACAGGAAGCAGAGAAAACACAGAGTCTACTGAGCCTAAACTCAGAATTAGTCAATAGTGCAGTAGCTTCAGAATTGACTCAGAATTAGTCAACAGTGCAGTAATAGTATAAAATTCCCAATAGATGCCAAGTTATTAAGATGCCTTGCTGACTTACAGAAGAGGAGAAAGTTCCCAGAATTTAAAAAAAAAAAAAAAAAAAAAACCACCAAAAAAAAAACCTTAACTACAGGTTTGCAACAACTAAAGACACACTTCCCTGCGAGATGGGTGAGCGAGGCACGTATATAAACTACGTGCATGTGTCATGCTGGCACCAGCAATAGAGACCGGGATGGCCCTAGAGATCCCGTCTCTTCCATTCTCCAGGCCCGACAGAGTGTGAAATAAAGTAAACATTCCCTATGAAAACTGGACTCTCCTTTTGGAAGGCAAGTCGGTTAAAATATTTGTCCTGTTTCACTAGTAATTAAGGCAATTAATTTTTGCCTACCTTGCTGCTGCAGCTGTACTCATTTTACTTTCCCAAAGAGTTTTCATTGTAAGAAGTCTCTAAAGGCTCATGATTCATTTCTATTCTTGGAGTTTATTGCATAACAGAGTAAATACTGTTTACTAATGGCTCTTAATACTGAATTCTTAATACTGAATTAAGAATTACACACCCTACAGCCATGCCTTTGGTCACTGAGTACACACCCCAAACACTTAGACTGCAGGCAATGGGTTGATTATCACCCCTTAATTACTCCCCTTACCTTGAAAAGGGTTCTTGGCTTCTGCTGCTTTCCCAAATCAGCACCTTCCCCTAAACAACTTGGCAAAAGGGACAGTCATATGCAGAAAAGAGGGAAAAAAAAAAGTCTCCAAACCTGACTAGCTGTTGGCCGTTTTTTGGGGTCCCACTGCAGCATGTCTCTCATGAGCTGCACTGCTTCACTGCTGGCATTGGGTATGAGGGTTTTTAGGTTGTTAGGTACACACTGAGGCCAGCGAAAACTCATGGAGGACGCAAGTTGGTAGCCCTCAGGCCAGTCATTCTGGAAGAAAGAGATTCTTGATGACAAAGCTCACATGTGAAGTATCCCAGCTCCCAAATACATCACTRCATTATTTTCCTACTAGCAGCAGATTTTTTTCCAGCTGTCCCAGGTTGTTTTACGGATTTCACTGAACCTCCCATCTCTTGTGGGAGATAACAGTCTTGCTTCATATGTAATCAAGTCAAAGTCACAAATGATACCAGGAGAAGGGTCTTATGCTTCTGATTTCTTGCCCCTTAAAACAGAAATTAATGTTCAAGAGCAAAATGAAATTTCACTCTCAAAGTCACACACTAATTACTTTTTTTTCTATTGTTCAGACAAATATTTCTCTTCTCCTCCTCTTTCAGTTTTTAAAGCATAACTATATTATGCTTATTTTGCTGAAAAATAACTTTCAGTATTTTTTATCAGACCTGAGATCAATGCCATACAGTAACAATAAGTGGGAAAATTGATAACCCAAGTGCCATGCTGCATTGCAGAATGGCCCTGCTGTGATTTCTGTGTGGAATGAGCACTGCAGCTACCTTCTTTGGAGTCCCCAAGACTTGGCAAATCTTGAATATAGTATCAATTTCACTGGCACCTGGGAAGAGAGGCCTCAGTGTGTACACTTCTGCCATTATACAACCAACAGCCCAGATATCTATTGGCGAACTATAGCTGGTAGATCTCAGCAGGACTTCAGGAGCCCTGTACCTGTGAGACAAAACAAAAAGCACAAAACGAAACATTAGACAAACCCAACAATCAACACAATTCAAACAAAGTCCCCTTATATTTGAAAACCACTCAAAACTCCATTCTTTGCTAAAGCAAATAMTCAAATATTCTTTATGATGCTCTTACCTTCCCCTCCCCAAAAGGTAACATGTTTAAGAAATTGAAAAATAAATAATTTAAAAACACTATATAAACTCTTGTAAACTTTCTTATGAGAGAGCAAACATGCAACATTTCCAGTCTGCCCCATCTGCCTTGTCAAGGCCCCTCTTTGTTCCTATGCTGCTGTCATTTGCAATCTGTCTTGCACTACCTGAAGCTTTTCAAAGTAGCTGAGTTTAAATAAAGGTCTCATAAAGTGACGTCAAGAGGGGTGATATGTTCAACACATTGAACACATCACTTCTTCTAAGACATGAYGGCAAGACATGCAATTTAATACTATGTAGGTGAATGCCTGCACTTACCATCTTGTGGATACGTAATCTGTGTAAGGAGGTCGAGAGCGGATTTCTCGGGCTAAGCCAAAGTCTGCTATTTTCACAAGTTCCGGCCCCATGCAAAGGAGGTTTTCAGGTTTCAAGTCTCTGTGAAAGAAGCCTAAAATTCAAATGAAATATTGATGTGCATCATAACATCACATGCAGCTGCAGACTTAAGTTTGTCAGGCCAAAGAACAGTACACACAAGTTTCTATTTTATAACAATTCAGAGCATTTGGTCAGGAAGCTTTCTTTCAAGTGATGCTTCCTCAAAGAAAAGTTAAATTTACACCATTTTAATACTAGTTTTATTCTAATTGTGTTGGAAACTGCACAGTGAATAAAAAAAAAAATCAGAGTTCTTTTAAGCAAAATAAAAATAAATATAAATTAAGTAGGGTTTTTTTTCCACTTTAAAGCTTTCTTTCTTTAACCAGCTGGAATGTAACAAAAGCTGGTTATCACTCAAATGTACTGTTTTAAGTATATCTTAAAAAGAATGTGCAGTTTAAACATATATCTGTATGTACCTCATAGGGAAAGAGAACAAGGTATTCTTCATTCCTAATCTCTGGGGTTACCTACGACAATCAAGAAACGTGACCATTAATATCAGGCAAGTTTTAGAAAAAGGCCAGCACCTGGTGGAAATCTGCTGAGCAGGAACTAAGGAAGTTTTCTAACTAAAATATCAGTCAGCTAAAAAAAGAGACACTTACTCTCCAAACACCTACATGGTATTTTCTCTAATTTGTATCTCTAATGTCCTACCGTTCTTTTGATTTCTCCCTTTAACAGGGGTGTTAAAGCTCTCATTAATGCATTGATTTAAAAACTCAGATAGATATTACCTCACTCAAATGAAAAACATTTACAGATAAAGTAGCTTACCATGCTTGTGGATAAATGCAAGTCCTTGCAGGATCTGATACATAATATTCCTAACTGTAGATTCTGGAAACAGTTTGTTTCTACAGAAAAAAAAAAAAAAAAAAAGGAAGAAGATGTTAACAGTTAATGATTAAGTTAACACATCAGTTTACGCAAGCTCACGAACCAAATATTAAAGCTAACAATGAAAATAAAATAGAGATATACATTTTTATGTGCTCTGATATAGTTTGTTTCTCCAGGAAAACTTAAGTAGTTGGTAGAACTGCCATATTATGTTATATTACACTATGGGGGACAGTGATTTAAGGGAAAAAAAAAAAAACAAAAAAAACCACACACACACCCCACTAAGAAAACTAGTGAAACTGACCCAACTTTAAAATGAAACCGGCATCAGGCACTTCAAGATAACACGGGTTCTTGTTAATTCTGGTACAGTTTCAACTGTGCATTTCTTCCTTTCTTCGGAAGACACTTTACTTGACTTTCCCATGTTAGTATTTACCAGCTCTTTCCTCTTCTGTTTTCTGAGAAACAATCACCCTTGCCCTCAGTGACAAGAGCCTCTTCTTAAAATACTTAGACAAGATCAGTGACAGCAGGAGCTTTTATGACAGCCTCTTTTTCTGGGTTAAATCATCCTGTACCAGATGCCTCGGCACATTCCAGAATACAGCAGAGAGGATTTGGGGGAGATCAGTGGCAATTTTAATCAGAAAGAGCCTAACAGAGAATGAAGGAGGCTTGAGTCTTCTTCAATTTCCTGAACTTGATTCCTCTCAAAAAAACATAATCACCACATACTTTACAAGTGAGATCAGACACTCRAGTCAGATTTTTGTACTTGCTGCTTGTTTTTCAAGCGACAGCAGAAAAAGAGCAGAGTTTCCTCTCAGTCCCTTCCAACAAGAGATTTTAACCACGGCTTAAATCGCGTTTTTAAAGGCTTAACTTACAGAGTGAGTAATTAGTTTAAATTATCTAAACTGCAACAAATGTTAATAAATAAATAAAACAGAGGATACTTTTACAGGCATTTGCCTTTTTAATTTTCAGAAGGAAGCAGAATGTACCAAACACTTCCAAGAAATTTTGTGATATATCTTTAATTGGCTGAAAATAAACTGAAAATTTCTTAAATTCATCATTTCATAATATCAACAATTGGTGCATGCAAAATTCAGCAAAACTTGAAGGCAACGCTACAAGAACAAGTTGTGCCACTGCCTCTCGTTGAAAAAGGAGTGGTGGTTTGATCACTTATGTGGAAATGGAAAGGTCCAAGTTGAACACTTCCAGGCCTGAGCGTGCTACAGCCCACAGCTCCTAACTCTCCTCGCCCACCTGGCAGGCTAAGCTGAGAAGAGACAGTGGAAGCTTTTTCCCAGCATGTTATTAGCATGGAAGTGGCAAAGATAAGCTCAAAGGAGACAGCCTCTTACTGTAACACACAGCTTCAAATTACGGTGAACTTAGCCTAAACTGATGACAAAGTCCTCTGAGAAGTAACAGGTATACTAAAAAAAGGAGGATGAGTACATTAAACAAGTATTCTTTATGGATGATGCTCTTACATACCTTTCTTTCATCAACTGATAMAGGTTTTCTTTCATGTATTCAAACACAAAATAGAGATGATCATTTTCCCTGATTACTTCTTTTAGTTTTACTACGTTGGCATGGTTTAATTTCTTCAAAGACTAGAAACAGAATACAAACAGGATTTTAGAAAAGTATTTCTAAGAAAAAAATACTATTTCACTACTTCRGTAAAGAAGACTTGCCTTCAAAAACTATTTAATAATTTAAAAATCTCAGCTCTGAAAATAAAGAACAGATTTTCAAATATTAGCACTTGTAAGTACAGAAGATACCTAAAATGCACTGACAGTCATTCAAAGGCCAAGTTTCTGGCACGGTAGCAGCCAACACAGCAATTGCACTCTCCCCTCATACAGCTTCCCTCTTGTACTCGCACTGCTGACAGTCAAGTCAGATTTAGGACAAAACACAGCCCTGGAAATTCTCCCTCAGCTCCTCATTCCCCCCTCTTTATAGGCTTTCAGTGCGTTTTTCACTTCTACTCATTCTTGCTGTAGCAATGCCATAAAAATACATGACACTGGAAGAGAAGTGACCTGAGCTTTCTGCGCCTGTTTAAGACAGTAATATCAAGGATTGGAAATTACAGGAGATCTTTAAAAGACAAAATTAGAACTTTGTGGTGGCAGGATTTCATCCAAATGCACCTCCAAAAATGATACAGAAAAACACATGAATATACCAGGAATACCACTAAGCAAAGGGCATAAAAATACTCGTGCTAAAAAGCACACCCAAAGCAGCTCCAGGCTTTGCAGCAGGAAAGCCACATTTTGCAGTGTACCAGGAGAAGATAGTCTCTCAATATCTACTGTAAGGAGGAATCATCTCTATAACCACGTGAGGTTTTTTTGTTTTTTGTTTTTTTAATACAACACCAGAACAGCATCCAATTCAAATGCAAAGCCAGGAAAGAGAAGTACTACAGACATATTTCACAGCTCATGTTGGGAGGACTTCTTAACACATGGGGTAAAAACTAAACTAGAAAATCCCTCTCTGTATTTCCAAGTCAACCACTGAATGCAACAAGTACCTTAACCTCTCGAAGATTCATGCATTCCTCCCAGGAGTAAAACTTTCTCTTCATTCTAAAATAGCAGAGAAAAACAGTAATAAACTGTCAACATCAGCTACAGTCCAAGATCCACAAGTCTTATTACAGCTTATTGATTCAATTTCACCATCTAAATATAAGGAGTTATGGCACTCCTCGTTTCAAAAAACCCTTCACATCTCTAGACATGCTGTGCTCTAGTAAAATTAAGAATTATTATTACACAGTCTTGTATTATTCTGATCATCTTGCAAAAAGGTCAGAACCTTTAACCAGCCATTACAAGCTATTTTTCATTCCAGTATGCAACCCCGTGCACTAGCGTCTAATCATAAAAACCGTGCAAGCTGTTACAAACAAATCAGATTACATCTTCAAACATATTTACAGAAGACCCAAGCCAAATGAAATCACTTTACATGGCCTCCAATTTCATCATATTCTTCCTGCACCCCTACTCCAGATCTTCACTTCTTTACAAAGACCTTCAATTCTTTGCAATTTTAACATCTTTCAGGAATGCATTTGCACTTCTTCATTGTGCAATACTCCCCACGTTTCTCACTCTGCTTTGCCAGTCGTACCTATTACAACAATCCTTTTTCAAAASTTGCTATTAATGAACACTGCTCTAACAGGAACAAACAGTTTGGTAGACACGGCATGTGGGGTTTTTTGGTCCTTTTTCCCCCCATCTTTATCCTAAGCCAGAATGCAACTATGAACATAGTATTTGTGTGTGAAGTGTGGACATATTTGTTCAAACTCGATTTATTTTGATAGCCCACATGCATCAGTTCTTTCACAAACAGTCTAGGCTTTAAGACAGAACCAGAGTTTGCGTACATATGCGCACACACACACACAAAAGGCATTGGTTAAATGTCCAGAAATACTTGAGCACCCACAGTCTGAATCTCAGTGGGAGCTGGACAATTTCTGAAGATCTGAGTCTTTGCCCATCTTTARTAAGAAATCAGTGCTATTTTTTATTACACAAATTTTCTGATTTGAAATCTCTTCCAGTTAAGTAGCTTAAGACTGACATTGCCTTTGATTTCACATAGGGCTTGGATTTTGTTTTATTTTGAAGTACCAGTGCTCTGCAACTGCTGTCTCATGCTTCCAGCCACCATGCCCCATTTGTTCTTAACAATGGACTGACGGTGAAATGTAAACTAAACAAGTATCATCTTCCACTGTACTGGCTTGTTCCAAAAGTACAAGTTTCTGTCATGATGTTTAAAAAAAAAAAAAAAAAAAAAAAAAAAGAGTCTCTTGTACAGTTTGGAACAAGCAAAACATCCTCAACACGGAGAATTTAGAGTGTTGCTGGAGCCAGCTATTGAGTGCACATACAAAACAATATTGTCCTGAACATCCTTTCAGCCATGTCCCCGGGTCACAGCTGGTATTTCAGGAAAGTGCCTGCAATATTTCGTGGCTGGCTGCCTCTTAGCACAAGGTCAAATTTGCCATTTATAAATTGAGGTCATTTCTGAAGGGGCAGAGATGAAATGAGAAAATTAAGTGGATTTCTCAGGGATTTTGAAAACAAATTTAACCTAAGTAGTATGTGTTAGACTATGAAGACATAGATAACAGACAATGAGATTCACTATGTTAACTGCTGCAGTACTGACATCAGATGGGAAATTACACCATGAAGAGACAGCAAAGGGGCTGTGCATTCCAAAACATCACTGCAAAACGCAGGATATAATATATAATAATGTCTGACCGCTTGTCTCATCTGAATGCTATTATGCCAAGCCTATACATCTCACCCTCTATCTTCTCTGCAGCTTTGGATTACAGAAGAAGTTCCCGTTGGAGTTGCTCTCCCCCCAACACGTACTAYAACCTCTCGAGCAGTAAATGAAGATACTTGCTTTTTAATAGCGATGAGCTCCCCGGATTCGATGCTTCTCCCCAGGAGGACAGAGCCGTAGGTGCCGTCACCGAGCTGCCTGATGGTCGTGTACCTGTTCATGGCGAGCAGAACGGGGCGGCCAGCGCATTTCAGGCCTCGCCGCTTCCTGCCTTTCGCCCCCGAGCGCAGCCAGTTCTGCCTGTGGCAGCAAAACACAGAGCGCTCAGGACAGTAAGAGCTGCAGAGATCACGTTTGCAAGACTTGGCCTTTGTCTGAAAGCACAGAACATAAACCATGGGATTGCTGTGCCCCTCTGAGAACTCGTCTACAGGCTCCATTCTCCTCCAAAAGATATTTTAAGTGTTTAAGCTATACACAAATATTTGTCCTTACTTCCTATTGGAAAGGGACAGCCTGCATATGAGTATAACCAGGTTCCTCACTTTCCCTCTCAGACCACAGGTGCTTTACAGGGCGCAGACAGACACCTCTGGCAGGCGATGTAGGTACTGGAAGCAGAAGATGAAATCTCTCAGCTTAGAAATTGTCTTAGCAGAAAAAAAAATGAAGCATTATACTAAGACAGCAGAGTATCTGCTCTAACCAAATTACGAACAATTCACCATCTCACAGATTACACTGCGATCAAGGTAAAACAAAACAATTCTTATGACTTTGAGGCTTCTGTGCCAAAGACATAGCCAGCCATATGTATTCCCTTAAGCAAAATCTCTACCTTACATATATAAAAATATTACACTTRTGCCACATAAAACAAGAACGTATTTCTGCACAGTAGTCCTAATGCTCTCTTTAGGAATAACAGGTCTATCACATTATCTATCAGGCCCTRTGTCCTGACACAGTTTGAATAACAGAATTCTAGACATAAAGCAAGAAAGTTCTTATTCACTCCAACTGCTGCTAATATTTCCAATGCTTTGCATTAGTTTTTTTTTACTCAGAATGAATGTAATCTATGTGGTATAAACTAATCACATACTCAGAATAAAGCAGAATTCCCCCTGATAGAAACCCATCAAGCACACTGTGTCATTAACTGAAGGCACTAGCAGTGCAAAACATTGCCAATATTCCTCTTTATCAGTTTGTTCAGCCTACCAGTCCCATTAATACTGATAATGGAAACAAATGAAATGCAGGAAACACGGTGTCAGAACACCATTTGTCTATTTTACAGATGTATGTATGAGAAAGAATCAGCAAGTTCCTCACATTTAACACCAGGAAGCATCCTCTAGCAGTATCTACTTCTTTCCACATGCTACAAAGAACCACAGCCAAGCATCTCAAATCAAGAGGCATAATCCTACCTTGTGCACCACTTGCCAAGGAGCACCCAGCCTGCCCATACGAATGGCACTTCATCAGGCTTTTCATCATCTGCCTCTTTTGGGCTAGTTTTCCAGTACAGAGCTACATACAGACGATCATCATATTCCAGGTAAAATGCTTGCTGAATTCTCCTTGGTCTTTGCACAAGGACCAGGCAGTAATTCTAAAGCTTGGGCTTCCATACCTTTAGTCACATCCTTATTGCAAATCTCAAATAACGATAAAACCAACAATAGTCTCCCAGCCCGCATAGTGTTTATTAATACCCAGATTATTTTATATAGTAACTTTGAATTGAAACAGATGGGGCTTGTGGATTTTTCAGCAAATACTCTGCCAATAAAAGTGTCTGGAGGCTGTAAACTGGGCAGATAAGAGGGCTCACGAGCACTCCCTTCAGAGCACTGAGCAGCTGTGGGCTCTTCCTATGCTGATAACCATGGCAAACCAAAACACACACAACACTGTTAGCACATGACATCGCTCCTCGTGGATAGATGTCATACCTGATGCCTCTTGACTAAAGATGTGAACATCTAATCCTGCCTGTTCCTCACCAGGGATACCTGCTGAGGCCTCCTGCTCCTTTGCCTGGCCACTGATTCACACAAACCCTGTAAATACTCTCCAAGATCCCTGCTCAGCTATCAAATGTGACTGAAATTCAAGTATTGCTGGGAGAGGATAAAAGGAAGGGAAAGAAACAGGAGAGGAAAATAATTTAAGTATTGACAAAAGATTTCAGAAGGAATGCATGTTAAAACTCACTCTAGGACGCACAGAATTTAAGAGGATTCCTGTAGAAGAACAAATCCACTCGTACAAAAATCCACTGGAAAAAAATTACTTTTTTTTTTTTTTTTTTTTTAAGAGGATTCCTGTAGAAGAACAAATCCACTCGTACAAAAATCCACTGGAAAAAAATTACTTTTTTTTTTTTTTTAAACTAACTCAGTATCATAAAGCTGAGCTTACCAGTTCAGCTGTTTTTTTAAAAAACAGTTTCCTTCACAACACTTATGCCTTGTCTTTATCATCTCCAGCTTCCTCACTCCGGTGAACTACTGGACTAACCCAACCCTTAATCCTGCAGAGTATGTTAGGTCAGTGGAGCAGCCCTCAAACCACTGCAAAGGGCRCCCGGCTCTGCAACAGGCAGCTTCACATGGCCACAGCCAACTGCACACTGTAAGAGTCACCGTCTGGCTTCCACGATGCAAATGCTAACTGAAACAACGTCTTGGAATGTAAGGAAAAGAAAAGGAAAGGAAAAAAAAAAAAAAAGAAGAAGAATAAAAAAATGCTTCATTTCCTAACATTGTAAAACTATTCCCCAAAGCCTCCTACCTCACCTGTAAACAATTTACCCCACACAACCCAGCTAGCAAGGCCCCTTTAAAAGCAGGTCTCTCTGTTATGGTACGGAGACCAAGTGCAACCCAGAACTATTTTCATCTCCTCATGCACATGGGAGGCCCCTCTGGTATGTGACGGGCTGAGAACTGAAAGCGAAACCAAGTCTTTCAGCGACAAACCTGGGGAGCACAAGCCGTGAACGGCCCCGGGGCGGTTGGGAGCGCGGGGCGGCCCCGGCCGCGGCTCCTGCCTGTGGGCGAAGGGCGGCAGGAGGCGAGCGGCGAGAGCGGCGCCCGCGCGGCGGCTCCGCGGGAAGGGGCCCCGGCTTCCCGGGCCGCCCGGTGCCGCGCGGGTTGTTCGCCCCAAGGGGCGCAAAGCGGGGAGCCCTCCGCGGCCCTCCGGGCCCTCGGCGAGGCCGGGCGGCCGCGCGGCGGCACCTACCGGCGTGTTGCCCTGCGGGAACGGCGCGTAACGGCTCCGGCGCAACGGCCGTAACGGCCGCGTAACGGCCGCGGCGCGGGCAGGCCGCTAGCCCGCCGCCATTCCCCGCYGCTTCCTCCTCCTCCTCACAGGCGGGGCGGAGCAGGGGACGGCGGCCCCTCCACACGGAATAAATAAATAATAATAATTAAAAAGAAAAACGAGGGCAGAAAAGAGCAGGTCGGGAAGCCGCGCGGCCTCTGCACCCTCCTCCCCGGCAGGGATTAGGGCTGAGCAGGATTTCACCGTCATTAAATAAATTAAAAAGAAATCCCCGCACAACAACTCGCCTCTCTCCCACCTCCATGAGGTACTGGAACAACCAAGCGGCAGGGGAATAGAGAAGCATCACTGTAAATTGTTAACTAGTGGCAAAAATGGTGTTTTTTATTTGGTTTTGTGTAGTTACCGTGTAGGGCTCCGCACCCCGGGTACATGGGCTGCTGCACCTCCCGGGTACTGCGGCTCTAGCACCAGCACCCACAGGCACTGAGGGAAAAGCAGCACAAATTCACCCCAAATAATTAATCGTGACATCCCAATGTCACGRCAATCCTCTGAGTCTTCGCTCTGCTTCACGCTTTCTTTTCATGCAGGTTTTAACGGTCACCAAACAATGTATTTCCCAAGGCTTTACAAGGCAGGGTGAGCGGGTTGTCTAATTCCAGAGCGTGCCACAGCTCCTCCCCGGGGCAATGCTTTACAACAGGAAAAACACACACGTATTTAAGACACACACTGATTCACAAAGGTCTGACACAGATGCATAAAGGTTTGGCATGTTGGGATTCCCTGGATGTAAACAGAAGCTGCTCTTGCAAATATTTACATTTTTTAATAAGCAAGTATAAAATTAAAAGTTTATTTCCCTACTACAGACAGGCATGCCCAATGCACAGTGAAAGTGGCTGGAGGGCATAGTGATCCCAAAGACAATTCTGCTGCAAGTCAACCCTGCAACACCTTGCGTGCGTGTACACTATGACATTTACAGCAGCGTTTTGCCCCGGTTGAAGGCAGAGCCTCTTCATTTCYGAAAGGGACAGGGGAATGGCCTAAYGCGGCCTTCACTGACTCCACACGAGACGCATCCAGCAGAATCACTCCTAATTCCCCTCTGTTCCCTGTTGCTTGCACCCTTCACCCCTAGCTGCGTGAGCCCAGCACAGGCGCTTTGCAGAGAGCCCTCTGGACCTGGTGACGCAGTTGTCCCTTCCCTCACGGCCAGCAGCTCAACTCCTCCTCTTGCTGCTAAAAATACTTAAGAACCATGGATGAAGGAAGGACAACATAAGAACTCCATATGTATATATACACTATAGTTCTGCCCTTCCCTCCAAAAATAAGATTGCAATTCAAATGAAAGAAAAACTTTCAGCCGATTTGGAAAGCCTTATAAGGTACACAGGTAGCATGCAACAACGCAACGAGGCTCCTGTGACTTTCCTGGCACTGTTACACGCAGCTGCAGCACTGGGCGCTCCTGGCCGTGTGCAGCTTTTCACTTAACTGCCCTGACAGCGCTGTCCGCTCGTACCCACACGGCAAACCCTAGCAGCAACACACTGCTAACGCAGGGCTTTGGGGTACTCACAAAGTCTAAATAAAGAGCCCCTAAACGCTAGTGCTGAGCGAGCAGGGGCGGTTCGAGGCKCCTGCACACACCATGGCCGTGCGAGCCGCACCCCCTCTAACCCCCTCGCTGCCGCCCACGCAAATGGCGGCAGCGCCCCGCCCGCCGGCTTTTAAAGGGCCCGACCACGTGACGCAGGCGTACGAATGCGGACAGCGCAGAGCCCCTGGCGGGACTACAACTCCCAGTAGGCACCGCTCCCTCGGCGGCTCTCATTGGCCCGGGGGAGCGCCGCGGTGCGTGCCGGGAGGCGTAGTCCGCGCGGCCGGCGGCCGGCAGCGGCCCGTGCGTGAGGCGGCGCTCTGCCCTCGCCGGGTTCGCCTGGCCGCGTCTCTCGGCGGCTGCCGCCCCGCCGGCCCCTCACTCACCGCCGCCAAGATGGCTGCCGTGCGCCGGGCCCGCAGTTTCGCGCGCTGCGTGGTGCGCTTCTCCGACCGAGAACTCTGCTAATTCCCCCCGCGGGGCCGAGGCACGGAGCGGGCGGGGGGCGGGGGCCCCCGGGACGGCGGCGGCGCCGCCGCGCGCGGCCAGCATGGTGAGCACGGCCGCGGGCCCGGCAGGAGGCGGCGGGCACCGGCGGGAGGAGGCCCGGGCGGCACCGGCTGACGGGCAGGGCCGCGGGGAGACGCCCCCGGGGGCGGGGGCGTTTTGGATGATAGATTTGGGGGTTTTCTTTTACTTTTTTTTTTTTTTTTTTCCTTCTCCCTGGGGAGGCACCTAGCTGCTTTCGGAGCAGCGAGATCGTTGTGTCATTACAGACGCGCTCGTCCGGCCTTTGCCTTTCCTCTCTGCATCCTTGCTGTTTTCGGGATGCAGGGGTGCTGTGGGCCCGGCACTCGGGTTAAACACGACGTGCYGTGAACTGTGGCAGTCAGACTCGGCCCGCGTTGGGTCTGCTCCTGGCTGCATTTCCAAGGGAAACGTAAGGATCCGCGATGAGAAACAGAGCATTCAAAGTTAGGCCTCTCGCACCATCCAGGAGCGCGCAGAACTCCTCAAACCACGATTAAAACTTTTGTTGAGCAGCGTTATCGCTTCTGCCGCGCAGAAAGCGCAGTAATTTCCTCTTTTCTTCCAAATCGGAGAAGAGCTTTAGCGTCGCCGCTCTGCTGCACTGCCCTTGCCCAGCGCTGCCCTGCGCAGCGGGTGACGGTCGCTTCAGAGCCGCTGCTGACCGCAGCCGGGAGGGCCGGCGGGAGCAGCGGCCCTGCCCGCTGCTGAACCGTAGGCCCTGGTCTGTGAGAGCAGGCGAGCCCTGCGCCTGGCCAACGATCTGCAGAGCCTTGCACGCAGATCGGAGCAGGCCCGCTCGCTGCTCTTTGTAGGTCAGAGTCCAACTCGGATGTTGGCTGTTTCCATTTTGCCATCCTGCAGCTCGGKTCGGTGCCTCTTTCACAGGGTAGCTGTTTGCACTGCTCAGTGTATACTGATACAATTCATAGCTGATTTGGAGGAAGGCCAGCAGCATAAACGGGTTGTACTGGTTTCAGTACAGGATTTTGTAACCTTCAGAACCTGTAACTATTTTTTTTTCCCCCCCTCCAAACATGGGGAGGAAATCCACGTTTACAAACCGCAGCCCATGTGGATGCAGTCTCTCGAGCTGTTGGATGGCTGGTACTTCAGCACTACCCCAGGATTACTTGGTTATCCAARCAGGTTGTTAAAACAGATCAGTTTTCCAGTTCCAGTTGGTTGTGCAGCAGGAATGTGAAAGGGCGGCTGGCCTGGTAAGTGGAGAGGGATTGCTTGTGTTGCCACTGACGCCAGAAAAAAAGCTCCTGATAGGAATGAATGACATTTTGGAAGTGCTTGGGACAGTGCAGGACCATTTGTGACTCAGAAGTAAAGATACAGAAATGAGGGGAGGAAATCGAGGCTCTGGAGAAGGTTGCTGAAACAGTCAGGTTTTAAACACTGGGGCTCAGACAGCTTCATAAGCTTTTAAATATTTTTAGACCTACTTTACTCTTAAATTTATTCACAAACTTAATGGATTAAGGGTTTTAATGGGAGTGCCCTTATGTCCAGGAAGATAGTGTGTTGATTTGGACTAATAAGTTACTTTATTAGTCTCTGCATTTTACAGATAAGAGTCTTTTTTTTTTTTTCTTTTCTGTGCAGACTGACAGCTGTCTGGACATGAACCAGCTGCAAAGCAGAAACCTTTCGTGTGTGCACTTTGCTCAGCAGAGAGGCCTGGTTCAGAGGTGGCTTGTCCCTCTGCCCATCCTGCCTCGATGCAGCTAAAATGCTTCAGTCATTGGGCTGCTCTAACTCACACAGCACTGATGCTTTAGCTTGATGCTGCAATTTTCAGCTGGTGTAAAATGCTCTAACTCTCCTGGGTACAAGTGCAAGGGTGTTTTGATCTCTGCACTTCGGTTGTGCAGGAGGCTGGAGTATTATATCAGGGAGCGGGACGTGGCTGGAGGTCACCAGCTCCACRTGCAGTAGCCCAGAGGGACAAACACCTCCTGGCACAACCCTGTTAACCTCACTGCCCAATATGTTTTTGCAGAATTAGAAATGTGAAGTTAACGTGGAATAGTTGAAAAACTGGGATGCTTCAGCTACAGGAAGAGCTTCAAAACGAGTGTCTTAGTCTTTTTTGATATTTTTAATGTTTTTTTTTTCCTTCTGGCTTCTTGCCACTGTTCTCCTTGCTTGTCACTTATACCCCAAATTAATCTTCCTCTATTTTCATATGTATTTCATACTACTTCAGTGCACTTTGGAGTGAGAAGGCTCCTTATGAAGCAGGACAAAGGGGCTTGATTTTTTTACTCTTTTGTTACTACTCTTTTTACAGTTCTATTCTTAAAGTAGCTGTCTTAATTTCCATGCAGGGCCCTGCTAAATTTAGTTTAAGAGTTTAAGGTGTTGCTGTTGAACCTGTCTCACAGCAGTATTTGTGAAGAAAAACACCTGTTAAGCACTCGTGGTAGCTTTTTATTTATTTATCTGTTCACAATAAGATCTCTTCAATTATAGTTTAACGCGTAGATTTTTAAGGTTGCCTATAATTGCCTGTATTTTTCATAAAGTAGCCATTAAGTAATAATAGCTTTTCTGAGTTAATTAGAGTAAGTAAATAGTTCTTTCAGTGTCCATTTTATCTTTTTGATCAGTGGAGGAGATGGGTAGTGTGGGGAAGGGGGGAGCTTGAATGTTTCTAGCGAGTGTCCGTGAGCCTTGGGCTCCGTGGAGGTGCTCAGGGACACGTGGAGACTCCGTAATTGTGGACTGCTCCCTTCTAGGCAGAAGCTGAAGAAGATTGTCACTCCGATCTGGTGAGGACCGATGACAATGAAGGACCTGGTGAAGCAAATCTGCAGGTGCATCTCGTGCTCATGTTTGCTTACAAGCACAGTGCTYTTATCATTTATACTCCCTTACTCAGGTTCATGTAGTTACCATGTCTGTGTTGAATTTACAAATAGTTGATTTGTTTGTTCCTCCATAAGTGAAATGGATGCGTTTTAAATTGTTTTCCAGGCATCAAATTCAATGTTCTGTTGTGTGTACAGATAAAAAGGAAGTGTGTGGCAGATTCTGAATTTCTTTGAAGAACTGTAGAAGTCAGACAGYAGTTTCTGTTTGGATCAAACTCCAGTTTAAATTGTCACTTTCTTCAGGAACACAAGGCTGATAAAAGCAGCCTGATACAACRGCATGTTTTCTTATGATACTAGTTTTCTGTTTACTGCTCTCCAGAAGTCTTCATTGAAAGAGACATTCAAAATGTAGCTTCAAAGATGCTCAGAAATGCCCAGGAAAAGTAATGAGTTGTCTTGTTTCTCAGAGCATAGTGTTTATTTTTAAAAGAGGAATTAATGTAAGGCTAGATTTGTTTACTGTGTAATACAGAAGACATCCTTAGTTATAAAGCTTCGTTAGCTTTACATACCAAGAGGTGGCTTTTCTAACTATTAGTAACAGCAACTAGGTGACTTTTTGATCAAGTTATTTCTAGGTAAACAAGAAGTACAAAAGCCATTTTCAGAAAGACTGATTTTTTAGGGAGTCTTACGTGATACTGTGGTACAAAAAAAATCTTCTCTTGGAACATTTCAGTTTCTCTTCTCTGGCCCAGATAAAGATATTTATCTTACTCATTAACATTAGGCAAATACTTATGCATGGATATTTTTTTTTAATTTGCTGTAAAACAGTTGCTGTTTGTCTAATTCTAAACTCACTGTAGCCACCTAAGACTTGGAAGCATAAAACATAATTTGAAACTCTCTGAAATTCTGTTTTTATTCTTTGTAATCTGTACTCAGAAAATCTGCTATCTGAATGTGACACTAATTCAGAGTTAATTGGATTTTTTCAGGCAGAGCTCCAGATGTTCAGAGCTCAGTGGATGTTTGAGCTTGCCCCAGGTGTGAGTTCTAGTGGGTTGGAAACTCTGCCATGCAAATCATCATCAAGAGGACCTGGAGTAAAATCTGTAGATACCAAAGGGAAACAGGAGCTAGCAAAAGAGGAAAAGGTATGAAAAAGTAATTTATAGATTTTGGTTTTTTTCCTTCTAGTATTGGAAGCTATGCCAAAAGTTAACTGTATTAAACCCACAGAAACTGGAATAGAGGTTGAGCCATTGTCCCCCATTAATTTCTTCCTTATAAGTTTCTGTACTTGGTTTTGCCTCATTCTCCCGGTCGACTTTCTGAAAGGTAAGAGGTGAGCAGCCTTTCTGAGGGGTTTTGCCCGTTTGTGTCAATCACCAGTTTCATATTGTTAGTAGAAATTCAGGCAGGGGGAGGAGAAGGAGCCTCTTGGACAGGCTGAAAATCAGTGGGCTGCAGGAGCTGAGGTTTCCTCCCCCAAGGTGGCTCAGGTAATAGGCAGGTAGTGATTACAGCAGTGCCACGGGAGCTGAGTTTGCTGAACCATGCTGAGGGCCTTTACTGCAGAGCAGTAAGGTGGCATTGCCCCTCATTAGTGAGTGTTGCACGTTATTAGCTCAAATCAGATCAGCTGATGAGATATCCACGTRCTTTTGTGTCTGTGTTAGACACAGCTGTACCTGGGAGTGGGTGGGCTAATGACTGGCCCCTTCTAGTTAAGCAGTAGAAAAGAATGTGGCGTCAGTTCAAAAGGTGTCAATACCTCCCCGACCTTCCTGCTTTTGGGTTTTCTCACATCAGTGTGACAAGGGAGAGGCTGAAGACTAGTTTTACCAAGTTTTGTATAGCTCTGTTTTCCTTCAGTGAACCAGGCTGAAGACAGCACGAATGCTGAAATGCTGCTTTGGCTTTGGCTTGGTACCCGCCTTCTCAGGTGAAGGAGGTGCAATTTCCTCCTCCTGTTATTGTTYAGTACTAACTTGGTGAATCAATTTCTTCTGTAAAATTTAAAATCTCCAAAGAAAAGGCTTAGGATAGACCTCCTTTATTTTTCCTTTTTTTGTCTTTTTGCTCTTTTCATCTCCTCAGTTCTTTCTGGTGTAGATAGTCTGTTTTTGCAGAGCTTTACAAAGCATTATCATACCTGCAAGTCCAGCTACTGCTAAGTTTTAAAGGGGTCAGACCCCTGAAGGGATTTAATTTATATAATGCTGTAAAATAGATTTTTAGTGGGAGTACCGTRATCCAGGATGAGATTTTTGGTAATTTTTTACAGCTCCAGCATAATGCCATGATTCAGTCTTGTGGAAATTCTTAAAAGTGCTGAAAAGAGGATGCACTGTTTGATTAGGAAATTCAGTTATAGCTTGTTGCATGCGAATTTGTCTTCACATTTTGTTGTGATAATTTTACTTTTTTCAAGTTAKCTGGTTTGCACAGGTATTTATAAGGACAGTAAGAAGTTCTCTCGTATGTTTTTTGTGCAGGCAAAAGAACTGTTCCTGAAGGCAGTGGAGCAAGAACAAAATGGGGCCCTTTATGAAGGTAATTTGGAAGTCTGCAATGAGCACCTTTATTACAGACAAATCTAACACTGATTTATGTACMAGTTCTTAAAAATAGTTCCCCTTGCTGTGCTGGGAAAAATACTGCAGCATGAACCCGTGAACTTAAACTGAAGACTAACAGTAATTCGAGACCTAGGCTGTGTAAATAAGAAAACAAACCTGATGTAAAAGTAACTGTCATATCACAGTTCTAACTTAATTCAAGGAAAATATTTCTAATTTCCAGACARAAAATAGAGGGGACATTTTGAAATCTAGAAACATTCACACTGGATTCAATTTACAGAAACACCAGATTACTTCTCCTTAACTAGCTAGTTATAGTCTTTGTTGCTTCTCTTTGAAATGAACCACTTCAGCCATCAACTGTTTTTTGATATATGAAGGTAGCTGCTCTAAGTTTTACTAATATGAAAGCTTCCATCGGGTGGTCTTGCTCTGTCAGGTTTGCCAAAATATTTAGATGCTCAGCTCACTTGTGTCTTTATATCCACCAACAAAAATAGGTATTCAGATTTTTCCTCCTCATACTTCACTTTCAGAGTATGTAGAGTAAGATACTCACCTGAACTCAAAGTCCTGGAGGTCGCRTGCAAAGATACTAAGTAATAAATAGGGAACCAGTTATTACACTGAGTAATAATGAACTCGGCCACCTCTTGGACAGAATATTTCCACTCCACCATGGGAACCTCCTTCCCTTTTTGGGGAATGCTCTGTATTGTTCCATATGACAAATCAGCTGTGAAAGTTGTGAGTTGGTGATATGATAGTCACTTTTCCCATTTTCAATTCATTGTATATTTTTACATGGCAAAATTACTTCAGGCAAAAGTATATTTTACATTACATATTAAATGCTTGGTTAAATGTTAGGTCGGGATTATTTTTGTTTTTAAAAAAGGCCTTAGAACTAAATGGAGCCCAGCATTTAAGAAATTCTGCAGTGCCTTGTGAGAGTTTGTTTGTACCAACAGCATACAGGGACATTTTCACAAAAAAGCCAGGAGAAGCAGACTGGAAGGCAGACTATTTCAGCGTTGTGCATATAAAAAGCCACCCCGATTTTTATACGTCTGAGTGCAGTCCTTGAAGACTAGGTGCAACAGCAGATGAGTAGTAGCACCTGTGAGAGGTTTGCACTCACACAGGCCTGCAGACACCTGGCCTCCGTGGTGAATACGTTCTTTGTGAGCTGGTTTTGATTTGAGGGTTAAGGAAACAAAATGCTGCTACTCATATACCCCTGTGAGAGACAACATCCTACACTAGGCACAGATAACTTGCTGGGTAGATGTTGGGCCGTCTGGTTTAAACAGTTTTTAGCTGCTGACTGGGGCCAGTTCACCCAAATCCAAGTGACCTTTCAGCCTCCTTCTGCAGTCTGCTGATACCCAGAGTTTGTGAGACAGTTACGTGAAGCATCCTGTTCACACTGRAGTACAGTACAGGCCCGGCTGCTGCGTTAACTGCTGAAGTTGGGAATGATCTGCTTAGCTGAGGTTGCTGCTCTTCCTCATCCTCACCCGCCAAACAATTAACAGCTCTTTCCTAGAGGCTGTTTTTCCTGGTTCTATTTGTTTTGCTTTTGTTTTGTATTTTCACTGCTTTGTTTGTAGCATCTTTGGAGTATTAAGGGCAGGCTTACTTTCCCTGACTCCTGCAAGGAGAAACCCTGTCAGTTAATCCTCACGGTTGTTTGCTGTGCAGCCTGCTGGAAAGCCCCTCTCCTCCCATACTCAGTGCTGGAGTGACTGGCTCCGGTGCTTCCTGTAGCTTCTGTGGTTTTGTCACAGCTAAATTTATTCACTCTGTTGAGGTTTCAAAGAAGAGCAACAGTTCATGTGCTCTTTTGCAGTTTTACAATGAGATGCATGTTTGAGTTATTGTCTGTATTGGGTACTGCAGAATTAAGGTATACCTACATTACCTACCTACATTCAAACTCTTTCTTTTTTCCCCACATTCCTTGTAGTTATTTATGACCACAGTGACTAAAATCTTTTCTCTTTTTTTTTGAAAATTATTCGAGTATTGAGCGGCAAACAAAACCAGAACTTTATAATGTTTTAGTATAAACCTTTGCACTGTATATTTGAAGTGATTAAGTTAGAACTGTAAAAGCTGATACATATCTGAGGCAGGCTTTAATTTTGCAAGTGTATTCATTTTGCCTGTTTTCTGTACTGAATTTAAACCTTTATTCTAATCTGTAAAGATTATTAACAGGAATTTCTAGGCAAAGGTATTTTCCACCTTTTCGGTGGTTTTAGCAAGCCAGAATGCTATAGCTGCCCATCCCTCTGGAAGAAGCTTTGCTTTGATGAACTACCGTAGACATTAGACWTGTTTAAACATCAAACCTTTCATTTCAGCCATCAAGTTTTATCGTCTAGCCATGCAGCTTGTTCCTGACATAGAGTTTAAGATCACCTATACACGTTCCCCAGATAGTGAAGGAGTTGGAAAGAGGTGGTAAGTGAGAAGAGATGTGCTAACTGAGGGCACAGAAGTACTGAAATATGCAGTTTTGTTCCTAATGCACAAGTGCTATATTCTAATACACACTTATAAGTCTCTGAGCTTTTCTAAATGCATTTCAATAGAAATCTTCATAGAACGTTACACAGATGCATTAATGATCTAGGGAAGATATTTCTATGCTGTAGTTTAAATAAGATAAAACACTGTTTTGGGGCAAGTTAAGTAGAAAAGAAATTATATTTAATAACATRCATCAGCCACATTATTTAGCTTCTGATTTTCAGTTTTATGAATTATGCATAACAGAAACATCTACATAATTGTATTTATTAATGAGAAGGATGAATTACTGAAAGTTTGGTAGCCTGAAATAAGCATAGCTCTAAAGCAAGGCACTATAGTGCAGTTCTGCTGACTGACACAGACAAATAGGAAATTAGGTTTCTAAAATGGGAAATTAAAAAGAAAGCAGAGCATCGAGTCTCCTGTGCTATTGCTAACTCTCTTCTTGCCCCAGAGCAGTGCAGCTTCATTGCAGCAGTGGTTTAATACAAAAGAGATGAACTAAGTTTTCACTATTGACATCTGTTATTTTAGTATTTGAGTGCATTGCTGGCATGACATTTTCACTGTATGTTTGTGCTCTAGCTGTGCTGGGTTGCACAGTACAGTCGTGTAAAATTCTTGATATTGTTAGCATTATTTTCTGAGCAGCAATGGATGTTTTTTGTTTTGCCATCTAGTTCACTCTTTTTTTTATTTAATCTGATGATTTATAGTTGTTTTCAGATCTTGAGCTGTCACAGGAATTGCAAAAATATGTTGTCATCAAAAACGGTGAACTGCAAAGTCCAGAAAGAAACTACCTAGATTGAAATTAAATGGAGAAATACATATTACCTGATGTATTGCAGCAAAATGAACCACATAGAATTAATTAATCAAGTTGTTTTGTGATTTTTTTATTGTGTGATAGTGAGATTGATTTTAAAAGAAATTATATCAAATGAAGGGAAAGAGAGCAAATTGAAGCCTATATAAGAGCATATATGGCTATGTCTTGTCCAACATYGAGGTGCTGATACAGTGTTTTGCTTTCTATAGTGCTGAGGACAGCGAAGACGACGGCCAGATGGCCGATCTCTTGACAGATTTCCAGCAGCAGTTGACACTTCAGGAATCCTCTGTCAAACTTTGCCAGCCCGAGCTTGATGTCAGYCAGACCCATATCTCAGGTAGGACATAAGGTTGGAAGAAGAATTTTTTGAGATGCTAAAACATTCATCTCCTTAATTCCAAAGCTATAGTCCATGCTCTCCATTCTGAAGTCCATACACAATATGCCTTTCTAGTATAGTATATATCCAAGTCTTCAAAGATGGATGTAAAGAACAAAACATCACCASTCAGCTAAACAGGTTGTCTGTTTCGCACAGAAAGAATATGTATATAAAAAAAGGTATTTCCTAAATTCCCAATCTTACGAACTCTGTGCCCTAGGAATGGGAACTTTACTTTTAGAATKTCTTACCATAATGCACTTTGAACTCTTGATTGTTGTTCTTTCCTTATGTGACTTTCTGTAATACATAGTRTTTTTTTAATGAAAAATAATCCTCTTTAGTATGTTCCCTGGTATCTGACAGAGATGTACAAAAGTAGGATTTCCTGTGGAAATATGGATAAGTTACTGGTTTACATGTTAGTGTCTAATGTGGAGTTCTTTTCTGCTTGCAGTGTTGCCTCTGGAAGTCCTCATGTACATTTTCCGATGGGTGGTTTCCAGTGACTTGGACTTGAGATCATTAGAGCAGTTATCTCTTGTTTGTCGAGGATTTTACATYTGTGCAAGGTATTACGGAAAAGTTATCTAGAGTGAACTTTTTTTGCTTTAAGGAAAGAAAGAAGAGCTGTTTTTCAGCTGAATCCATGATTTCTAGTAAACAACATATAGAGGATGATGGTATGATGGTAACTCCCTGGTGCAAAATTACGTCTATTGAGAATACTGGGAAATTTGGAATACTTCCCCACCCCACCCCAGGCTGTTAAATCCTACGTATGGAACTACATCCTGCTTCCTCTTCCCATGAGAGTTTCCATGTTATATTCTTACCAGCACTGACTAGCTCTTGAGTGTGATAGTAATTGGTATATTAGGTAGAGGACCTAATCTCTGTAAGAAAAAATGCTTCTGTATCTTGTTTGAAAATGAGGSTTGCAGGGTCTCCAGAACAGTACATCTGCTGTGTTATCATTATCACACGGTCAAATAGAATACAGCCAAGTGGTCACAGTGTTGTTTTATTGCACTTACCTGAAATTGTCTTGTCTTGCATTCCACTGGCAGGAGGAAATAGCTTTCAGATTCTCAGGGTTAAGTGAACCAGTTAGTGATTTAAATTATGAGTTATCCTTGTTCAAGAAAATTTCTTCCAGTTGCCTCCAACACAAATGTTGCAGTGAGTTACTTTGACACAAATACTAAGCAAGCTTGTTTTGTTTTTCTTATTTTCGTTATAGAGATCCTGAAATCTGGCATCAAGTTTGTTTGAAAATATGGGGCAGGAGCTGCAATAAACTTGTTCCATACACCTCTTGGAGGGAAATGTTTTTAGAGAGGCCTCGTGTTCGATTTGATGGTGAGGAGTCTCTTGGAAACAGATTCTTATTTTTATTGCACATAATTATTAACCAAACAAAGAAAAATGACAGGTTTGGTATTTATGCTGTTTTTTAGACCTAATCTGAATTTATTTGGGCTTTTGACGCTGTGGGGTATCTATAAAGGCTGCAGGGGTCCAAAGGGTGCAAGGGACCAAAATCAAAACTTCCTTGTGTTGAAGTAACAAAAGTAAACTGAAAAGTTGTGGGTTGTTGTTATTGTTTTGTTTTTTCTTGTTGTTTTGGTCTGGTCTTGATTTTTTGTTTGTGTTTGGTTGTTTTCTTTGGTTTCTTTTTTTTTGTTTGTTTGTTTGTTCTTGTTTTGTTTTTTTCTTATCCTTCATCTTTATTTCTTCCTTTCTTGCAGGTGTATACATCAGCAAGACAACATATATACGTCAAGGAGAACAATCTCTTGATGGTTTCTATAGGGCATGGCACCAAGTGGAATATTACAGGTAGAACTGTAGTGCAATGAGTGAGTGAAATGTTTCTCTCTCTAAGTATGTTGAAATCCAGCCCTTGATATCACAAACATTGATTATTCTGTAAAACTCAGTGGGGACATTACTGTGTGTAACACTATGTATGTATTGCTGAGAGAAGGTTAGGTTGTGGCAGAGTTGCTAGAGCTCAAACATATTTGCTCCTCAGTTACACTTTCCCATGTAGATGAAGTTTAAATAGTAACAGCAGTAACACTTATTCCCAGGTTTCTTCTCCTTCCCCAAGTAATTTGCATTCTGATATAACAGTTGTTTTCAGCAGAGGAAAAAAAGTGATTGAACAAGGACTGTCTTTAAACTTACTTGTATCCATCCATAAGTCTAAAGGCTGGGATCTCTGGCATTGCTCTGAATATGGAATTGCTCTAAATACCATTTGTTTCTGCGGCCTGTTTTTCTTGCCATTCTTCATCCTGCTGTTCACAAAGTACATTGTTTATTCTGATGACCCTTTTGTGGCTGGAAAGTGTTAATAGAAGTCATTGACTCTTTTGGCTATGCATACAGTCTTTAAAGCACTAAGATAGTATCTGAGTATTATAACAATGATTGAAATTTCRAACCTGAATGAAGTCCATAAAGTGTTGTCCATTCTTCATTAATGTTGTAATTAAGATTTTATTACGTTACTCTCAGTTGATGCTGGGAATAGAGAAACTTATTAGAGGTCAGTTTTGATTCCTGAGCTGGCTTCTTGCTTAAATCAAAGTTGACAAAACTCCTGAATTTCAGTCCTATTGCATAAGCCTGATGATCTTTTAATCCTTAAAACTGCTTTGATTTCTTATCCCTTCCTGGACTTTACTGTGTTTTCTGAATCTGTTTTCAGAATCTGAACTTTACCTGCAGTGATTCCAAAGAAATACATTTTTTTCTACATATATATTGTGTAATTATATTTCTGCAGGTATTTGAGATTCTTTCCAGATGGCCAAGTTATGATGCTAACAACTCCTGAAGATCCTCAGTCTATTGTTCCTCGCTTGAGGACTAAAAATACAAGGTTATTGAAATAATATTTGTTTATACAGTTATCTTTTCTCTGCTTACTTTTATTTAGGATTTTTTATTTGTAGTTTGACTGGGCTTCCTTACCTGGGCTTAGCAAAAAAAAAAAAAAAAAAAGCACATTGTTTTTATTTAAGGTCCTGGCATGTAATGAGATTTGTTTTACAGGTTCTATGCTAGGATAGTGTCTAGGTAGACTTTTACAGGAGGTAGATGGAAGAATACAATACCTATTGGCTATTGTGGTTTTGAATGCTCTGAAGTGTAGGATTTCAGTATTGACTCTTCTTTACGTTTCCTTGTCCATGAAAAGGAAAGTGGAACCATTAAGGGGACCTAACTGAACTGCTCAGTTTCTCTTTGAGGTTTGCACAGCTTGTTAATGATCTTGTAGAAGATTGTTTGCAACTTCTGAATAGGTTTGAGCTGTTCATTAATAATCATCAATAAGATGGAGAGAACCAGCTAGTTCATCTTACTATGACAGTTATAGCAACAGTCTTTCAAAAAGTCTTTGTCACTTCTTAGCATCAGTCAGCCTGGTACTCTGCCAAATGCAAATAAAAATTAGTTTCCTTGAGTAAGAGATGTACTTTTCCTTTTATTCCTCTTATTTGGAGTATCAGTATCTGGCTCTTTGAGACGGGGAGTATTCTTATGTCCCTGACACTGTGCTCTTAATCTTCCAGAACCGATGCAATCTTGCTTGGCCATTACCGCCTTTCCCAGGAAACGGACAATCAAACCAAAGTATTTGCTGTAATAATGAAGAAAAAGGAAGAGGTAGGTGCCAAAATAGAGCAGAGGAAAATAGTTTAATGAGAAAGGGCTTTTTTAATTAAGACTTTTCTCAGAATGTCTTTTTTTAAGGCACCTGGAGATTTGCCTTACATCAGAGGATTAAAAATAAATTTCATGTTTAAAATGTAATATTCACAAACTGACTTAAAAATCAATACATAAATAAGGAGGACAGTTAATCTTAAACTTTTTTTTCCAAAACTGTCATAGTCTGTAGGAAGAGTAATAGTCTGTAGGAAGACAGAAAAATGCTTGGTTCCCATCTGAGCAACAGTTCTTTCCCTGCACATACCAATAGGCATTAGATCATTTGTTTAATTTTTTTTTAGTCCTCTAAATATGAAAGGGCATTACATGTTCCAGGAGGATACTGGGAGCACTAGAATTAACCCAGATGCCCCAGGACTGGTGAAGAGGTCTTTATCTGAGATCACCTTTTGAGTATGTACAGTTAGGCTACACAGTGTTAAGTAGAACTTGAGCTGTATTCATGACCATGGATAACCCAGTCAGCTTATTTTCCTCAACAAATGTCCTGATTAACCAGGTGTCTGTCAAGAGAAAGTAGGTACAAGTGCAGATGTGGGTGTCCTGTACCAACATCTTACTTTGTAATAACTCCTTCCCCAATTAAAGCCTAAATCGAGGTGTTTCCAAGCAATACCCAAACTTATCATTTGTCTTAACAGCTTCGGGATAAGTAGTTGAATGACACATTCTTTATAGGTCACAAAATTTCTGTTTTCTTTGTCCAGAAACCAATTGACTACCACAAATACAGGTATTTCCGCCGTGTTCCTGTACAAGAAACAGACCACAGTTTTCATGTAGGACTGCAGTTGTGCTCCAGTGGGCGCCAGAGATTCAACAAGCTTGTTTGGATACATCATTCTTGCCACATAACTTACAAGTAAGTTAATAGAGAATAAGATCCAAGAAGGCTATTTGATTCTAGAAACATGGACAGCATTRATTTTGTTCAGTTTTAAATGGAGAAAGATGTAAATGTGCAAAACCTCTGAGGTTTTAAGAAGTACCTTGAAAAAATAACTGTTTCTGGTTTGATATATTGATATATAATCAATTTTTTTCCAAGGTTTCAGTGATTTTTGTGATGGTGTTGAAATTGTCATTATTAGAACTACAACATTTAGGTATCTAAGAGATTTATGAGCACTACATAAATAATTTCAGGACTGGATTGAGGCTGAAAGACTTGCTGCTAGTACAGAGGGGTGCAAAACAAGCATTCATTCAGTCTGTTTTGTTTCCTCTGCAAAAGTGCAAGCTAGAAATGCTAGAGAGAGAGAGACAGAGAGACAGAGACCACTGTGGAGCTCTGCACACATTCTGTGTGTAATGACTCTGACAAACCATGGCCCCGGGGCAAAAGGGCACGACTGGCTCTTCTCCTCATGGCCCTGCGAAGAGCCGTGGCCCTTGCTCTTGCTCCTGGCACTCTGGGCTCTGGCAAACTGGCCAGCCAGATCTGTGACAGGCAGTTAGGGGGAATTAGGTCTGGTCTTCCAGTCTTCTTAACTTTTCTGCTCGGTCTTTTTCTAGAATCAAAGCTCAAATATTGAGCTGTAAGTATATCACAGAATCAAGAATGGTTGAGTTTGGAAGGGACCTCTAAAGATTGTCTAGTCTACCCACCCTGCCCAAGCAGGGATGAATCTTATCTACTGACCCTTTAGAGTACAGGTGGCTTTCATAAGCAGAAGATTTCTTKACTGTKAGGGTGACAGAGCCCTGGAACAGGCTGCCCAGGAAGGTTGTGGAGTCTCCTTCTCTGGAGGTCTTCAAAACCCTCCTGGATGCCACCCTGTGCTCTGCGCTCTAGCTGTCCCTGCTTGACTAGATGATCTCTAGAGGTCCCTTCCAACCTTAACCGTTCTGTGATTCTGTGACTGTGCCTTTTATAAAAACAAATATTTTCACACCTAACTTACAAAGTAGTTGCGGCCATATCAAGGATTCTTCTCAGCATGAAGTTTCTGCACTAGGCAGGTTCTACTTAACCTCTCAGTGCAGCCTGTCCTTTAGAAACCAGAATAAAGGTGAGCAGCAAACGCAGCTTGGAGACACCTGCACTTTGTCATTGACGTCCAGAAATGCTTGGACGTGGCTGTTGGCCTGGTAAACACATGGACAACTTCCAGCTGTCATCCTGGATGCTGAAGCCCATGATTCTAGATAAAACAAAGGAGATTCTAATGTTATTCATATAGTGACATGAGCAACATTCCGTGTTGTTCCACATGTTGGAGCTAATAGGAATTAAGGCCGAAAGTGGTTCCTCTATTATTAAAGTACAAGTATATTCAGCATAGTGGGAGCTAGACAACATTTAGGTGCTTTCAGAGTCGAGTGATATGCAAGATTCCTCTTTCGCTTCAGTGTACACATTTTACTGTAGAATGTGATTATCTAGATTAAACAATCTAGAAGGATTTAAATATCAACTTATGTCTGACCCAACTCTTACTACCGTGTTACCTGTTCTTCGTAGATCGACGGGCGAAACAGCAGTGACCACTTTTGACATTGACAAGATGTACACGCCCTTGTTCTTTGCACGAGTGAAGAGTTTTACTGCGTTTTCAGAAAAGCCGCTCTAAGAAACACCTTGTCCTCTCACAGGTCTTGCATGAATAAAAGGTTGTAGCAAACGAGCACTTAAGTTATGAATGTGTATATATTTGGAACATTTTAAAATTGGGGGATCTTGGGGGGAAGGCCATGTGTTCTATTTGATTAGGAGTGGCTGGAGATGAAGCTTATGAGTATTAATCATCTTTTCTTTGTGACTAGACTTTGATAATAAAGTTCTTATTTTATTTTTTAAACAGATTTTATAAATCAGTCTGCCTAAAATGCGAGTCTTCATCTGCCTGGGCACCTTAATGGTGTGTCCAAAGGAGCCGTCATAGGAAAATCTCATTGTCCATGGGACATTGTGCACATGCACTCTGGTGAAGGCTCGAAATGTGAAGGGGAGAAACTTGTCTTGTATCTGTTAAACCGTGTTACATACGAGAACTTCAAATAAATGTTTAATTTATTTTGTTTGCCTTTAAGATCTGGCATTATGTCAACATGAAACTTAAGAAAAAACAATCAAAAGGCAGGCACAGGAGAAGTATAAATTTAACCGCAAAGGTGYGTGACCACCAACACAGTGCTGCCARTTGGTCATGAATGAGATCTGGTCTGGACACAAGTTCAGGGGAGGGTGCCTTGGGGAGGGAGTTATTCTCGTGTCCCATAGTGGAACTGGCCGAGCACGTGGCACTGCTTGGGAAGTGGCTCAGTGGTCATAGGAGCTGTGGGATGTGCACTAGTTATGAAGTGATAGCATTAGTAAGAAGAGCAGGGCTCACCTGGACACATTTGTAATGTAATATAACCCTTCATCTAACCTCGCTCCAGATGCTGTAAATCCTCTGGGCATTTGTTTCACTAAGATAAATTTTGAGGCTGCTGTAGATGTTCGGGTGCTGCGTACTGCTAACCATGAAGTGTACCCTGAGGTTTATTGCAGGCCCTGTGTGCTGCTTCTCCTGCATATATCGCTTGGGGGTGTAGTGCAGACACTGTAATGCCGCTTACTCTATATGTATCTTGGATTCTGAAAGAACTGAGCTTGCTAGTGTAATGTTTTTAAAGGCATTTTGTGTAATCTTTTCCTTTGAACATCTCATTTTAAAATACTGACCTGGACTAGAGGACTGATGCGTGAAAGAACTGTTGAAAGAACTATACTTGTTCCGTAATTTATAAAGTGTATCTTTGCAAGGAGCTACACAAAAATATTAATAAACCATGACTTTGAACACGCAATCCTTTGCATTTTCTTATTTTGCCAAGAAATCCTTACTTTCATACAGTAAAATAAGATTCTAAATATGGATGTGTGTGCCTGCAACTTCTTCCTTATCCTTACTAGTCTAGAAGGACTCTACCTACCACCCTCCCCATTCTGTCTTCAGGACTGCAGCTCCAGTTGCACTGCTACTGCATATAACAGAGCATTTAATAAGGAGGATATTACATTCTCATGACTGAAGAGGAAAATAGTTGCTTCAACAGTGGACTGCCATGTTTTCAGGAGAACCAATGAAGTATTGCCAAGTGTGTAGATGGAAAAAGATGTTGCTTCCTGCACTTAGGCTGAGGGTGGTGATTGAAGATCTGGTTCTGCGTGGTGAGAAACGTTAAAAGTTGATTTATGTGACAAGGATCCCCCCAAAAAATGGTAYGGATTAAGTGTGTTTAGGCGTGATTTTGTCCTTCAGTAACCAAGCTGGATATAGTGAAAACATCTTTCCAATTCAAAGCCCATTTCATACCAAGAAATACCCACATCATATGGGCTTTTATTTTTACCCGCCACCATCACGTGCATGCAGCATTCACACACATGGGGCCTAGGGGAAGCTAGCTGGTATCTTCTGCCTCCCAGGACTTCTGCACTAAGCTGAGTCACACAAATAATCCCTCTCCAAGAAGAAATTAGCACCAGTGGTGTGTGTGTGTGTGCTCGCGTGTGTGTGCACTCCTGGCCTGCATGTGGAGGGAGGAAGCAGGAACGTCATTTCATGTGGTGAGTGAAGGAACAGCTCCAGGTACCTTCTCACTTGCTAAGTTACTGACTCTATAGCCTTGAGACAAGCCAAGAGGACCAAAATGACCCAGTGTTTTCACAAGAGGAAATAAAAACTCAGAAGTTTGTCAAAAGTTTATCGCCAGCCTGGATTTTAAAATTAATGTTATATATGTTTCTAAGGAGTATAGGCAGAGAAAGGGCCATTTTTGTAATTTGATAGTGTAACTATCTAACTAGTGTAACTATCAAATTGGACTAGCTGCTTTCTTGCTCAGTTTACMTAATGGTAAATTCTTTGCCGTGAAACTACCTTGTCCAGAATTTAGCTCCTGAGACCTTAAAATGGTTTGTAGAACTGCTAGCCCTAGATAATGTTGGCTGGAGCACAGGAGCTGCGCCAAAACTGGAGTCATTTACTGCATTTGAAGACAATATTCCTGGATATTTCAGGTTTCATGGCCTTCCTGCCTTGGCAGCTACAGCTGTTTGGACATCTTTTGAAGATGCTGGTAGCACATAGATTAATTTAGTCTAAGGATGTTCTGTGAGAAATAGCTGGGCCTGAGGCAGAGCTGATTAAAAAAAAAAAAGCTGATGAATTCTATCAAATTAAATTAGTTCTTAATGTAGAAAAACAAGATGAACAGACTTAAAGAGAGGGGRRAAAAAAAAAAGGAAAAATACGTTATTTCTGAATGAGCAGATCTTCCCGTTAAAGAATGTATGCTATATGCGCATAGTGATTCCTACCTGTCTCCAGGCTAAATTTACACCCCCACTACATTTATTTTCATAAATTCTCTCTGTGTAATGATACAAGGTTGCTAAAATAGCTAGAAAAGAAATTATGCTCGGTTTAATTGGTAGAATTTGCTTTCAGGGACAGAGGGGGCAAAGCAATTTGYGTGTTGRATTTTCTTTTTTCCTCAGAAATARCGCCATCCCTTCAGCTCCTTGCAGCCTGGTAGCTTAACAGCAGCTTTGGGCTGCGGCTTCCCCATCTGCAGGGTTCGGAGCTGCAGCGTGAGGGAGGCTCTGCTGTCTCTAGGTGGCAGGACACTGCCTGAAATTTTCTATTGTGCTGTGWATGTGTATTTGATGCGTTTATTTTTCCCCAACAACTCCTTTAAAAGCTGGGAAATGCTGTCATTGGCCCTAAGCACTAGGCCAGGCAGACATGCGTTTTTTTTGTTTTTCATAGAATCACAGAATCGTTAAGGTTGGAAGGGACCTCACCCCTGCTCACGCAGGGTCACCCAGAACACGGGGCACAGGGCTGCATCCAAGCGGGTTTTGAAGATCCCCAAAGAAGGAGACTCCACAACCTCTCTGGGCAACTGTCACCCTCACTGTCAAGAAGTGTTTCCTTAAGTTCCTGTGGAACTTTTGGTGCTTCAGTTTGTGGCCATTTCCTCTAGTCCTATCGCTGGCCACCACTGAAAAGAGGCCGCCCCCTCCTCCTCACTGCCTCCCTTGAGGTATTTATACACRCTGATCAGGTCCCCCCTCAGCCTCCTCTTCTCCAGGCTGAACAGACCCAGCTCCCTCAGCCTTTGCTCATAGGGCAGATGTTCCAGGCCCCTGATCATCCTGGTAGCCCTGCGCTGGACTCTCTCCAGCAGCTCCACATCCCTCTTGTACTGGGGAGCCCAGAACTGGACACAGTACTGCAGATGTGGCCTCACCAGGGCTGTGAATGGGGGAACGATCCCCTCTCAACTTGCTGGAGACGCTTTTCTTAATGCACCCCAGGATCCCATTGGCCTTCTTGGCCACGAGGGCACACTGCTGTCTCATGGGCAGCTTGTCCTCCACCATGATACCCACATCCTTTTTTGCAGAGCTGCTCTCCAGAGGGTCAGTCCCCAGCCTTTACTGGTGTCTGGGGTTATTCCTCCCCAAGTGCAGGACCCTGCACTTGCCCTTTTTTTCCTCACATTAGATAGTTGTCCCTATCTAATGAACCTATTAGTTGTAGAGCAACTTTGCCGAGAAATACTGAACATCTCCCCCTAAACCCTATAAAACTGGTAAATGTAGGTGAAGATGCTGCTTCCTGTTAAGGAACTGTTAAGGTTTAGCTCCTTCTTAACTAGCTCCTCAGTACTTTGCAATTCAATGCTTTTTAGCCACAGTTGGCTGATTAAGGTGTGTTTATAGGGATACTTTTTGTGTTGTGTTATGTGTATATGTGCTAACTAATCTGAGAGAAGAAAAGATAGGCAAAATATTGGTCCTTTTCTTGTTCTTTTCCCTGATGTCCYGAGTCCCTCCTCCTCACTTGAGTCACGGCCACCTCTGCCCTGCAATTCCCATGTGCTGAAAGGCCCAGCTGCACTGGGAGATGCTTAGCGGGAAGGGTCTCTAGGCTCAGCGTAGTTGTTCTCTTCCAGGGCGCCAAATGGTTTGCTGCACAGATTAATATGAGGGTGAGTATCATCAGTCTCATGGCTTCTCAAAAACTTTCTTTTTCTCTCTTTAGTGAGCAAAGTTGGTTCATCAATCTCTCAGCTGAATCTCTATCTTCTCACTTGACCAGTTTTGGGGATTTTTTTGGTGGGGAGAACTAAGGCAAAGGTAGCTCCTCTTATGCAGCCTTCAGGACGACCTTTTCATACCTCCTTTACCTAGTTCTCAGGAGAAATAAATGAAAAGATGAAAAGATCCTTAATCTGATTTGGATGATGCAACATCTGCCTTAAATGACAAACATGACTACTAGGGGGTCACTTCAGTACTGCCCTGAAATTTAATCACATTGAAAAGAAAATATTGAATACCCTTTAACTTACCTTGAGTACACATATTAGTAATTGACAGTGTCTAGACAGATGGCGATCTGGAAAATAAAGTCTGGGAAAAATAAACTTAAAGTTATTAAAGTAAGCTACATTTCCCACTGGTAATAAAGTAGAAAGATGTGAGGGTGGGGAGAGGTTTTTTAAAACTTTCTATAGCATCTGACAGAACAACTGTTGTTGCCAGCCGTTTGGAACCTTTCAAATGTCCTTTTTAAAAAGATTTTATATTTAAAGTCTGTAGAACCTGAAAAACTAGGAAAAATAAAGTAAATCTAATGATAAGATGAGTATTTGTCTGGGTATGTGCAAAGCAGTGAATCCAGTTTTTCTTCTTTCTTTTCAAGGGACTTAAATTTAGAGAGTTTTTTTATGAGATCAAGTTCATGCACAGAATTGCAAGCATCCAAGTTTACTGTACTTCCCTAGGATAAACAAATCATTACGGGCACACTGTTGATCAGATGGTGATCTCTGAGCTTCAGAGTAGCATTATTTATGATTATCTTATGCTCAAACTGCTATTCTGCTTCTCATCAGGACTAGAGAATCCTGAAGAACAAGTGAGACCCAAACAAAAATGAAAAGTATTGCTTGTGAGCAAAGGAAAGACGCTGCCACCCCAGTTCTACCATGCAGACACCTAAGCTAAGCTCCAAGGGTCTGAGCTACCTAGTTGCCTTGTCTTCCTTAAATGTAGTGCTGTTTGTCCCACTGCAGCATTCAAGGACTAGTAAAAATTCTGCTTATGGAAGTATTAGAGTGAGAAAGGATGAAAAACTTGTGCCTGAGAGTAAGTGGCTGATTTTTTGAGGGGACCTTGTGTTTCTGCAGTGCTAAGAGCCTGTCCAGTTCAAGGCTGGTTGGGACACCATTTCCATGCATTAAGTAGGGGACAAGGCAGTGGACAACAGTCCAGGACACAGACTATGGCTTCCCACCTCAAGCCCTGGCAGCAGAGCTGCAATGCAGTCATAGGGACAACCCGGACCACTGCTCTCCATCTTCTGCTACATAAGACTTTTCCTGGGAGGACTGATAGTCTCCATGGCACTGGCTTGAGTGAGGCATTTGGGAACTGAGGATGGAACACCTGGTGGGACAGTCAGAGCCATAGTGATATTCAAACCATCCTAATTTCAGAGAGAAGTGACTTTAGGTTGCACTGGACATTATGTGAACTTGATCTTTCTCTCATTTTTCTCTGAGGATTTCCCCAAAACCCACAACTGGAGTATGACCTGATTCTTCTAACAGACCAGAAAAGGATATAGAGAAACATTAGACGGACTTAGGCAGGGGAATTATGTTCTGGGCTATGCAGCTGAGCGTACTGCTCTTCATGCACAAGGAAGGTGAACTCAGTGCAGGTTTTGGAGCATCTRTCATCTGAGGAAGGACTAAGCGAGCTGGGCCTGTTTAGG